CATCAGTAACTTGACAACAAGAACAGTGACTGTTAATCCAAAGGCAATACTTTGTGAGATACACCCAGTATCCATCATAGATCAGCCTCAACATTTACATCAGGAGGAGATAACTTATTTACAGGATGTGAAAATATCTACTGACAACTTATCATCAAGTCAGATACAGGAAGTACATGAACTACTCAGAGCGTACGAGGATATATTTTCAAAAGGCGAGACTGATATTGGATTTAACAACACTGTTAAGCACAGAATCGATTTACTAGATGAACAACCTTTTAAGCAGAGAACACGGAGAATACCACCTGCTATGTTTGAAGAGATCAGAAACCATTTACAGATGCTTTTAGATTCCAACGTCATAAGAAAATCAAGTTCACCATTCTCGAGTAATGTGGTCTTAGTTAGAAAAAAGGACAACAAATTAAGGATGTGCATAGATTACAGACAACTTAACCAGAGGACTAAGAAAGATGCATATGCCTTGCCGAGGATAGAAGAAATTCTTAATGCTCTTTCAGGAAACAGTTACTTTTCAGTTTTGGATATGAAGTCCGGGTACCATCAGGTAGAGATATTAGAAGAGCATAAAGAGCGTACAGCCTTCACCGTAGGACCTCTCGGATTTTACGAATTTAACAGACTTCCATTCGGACTATCAAACAGCCCTGCCACTTACCAACGGCTAATGGAGACCTGTTTAGGAGACCTACATTTGAATATTTGTTTTATTTTCCTGGATGATTTAATCATATTCTCAAGATCATACGAAGAACACATCCACAGATTACAACTTGTTTTTGACAAACTTAGGGAATCAGGTCTCAAACTCTCACCAAAGAAGTGTAATTTATTCATGAAGAAGGTAAAGTATGTCGGCCACATTGTTTCCGAGGAAGGAATAGAGACAGACCCAGAGAAAGTACAGAAAGTCCTGGATTGGCCCATTCCACGTACACCAGAAGAAATAAGAAAGTTTATTGGTTTCATCGGGTATTACCGAAGATTTATCCCTAATTTCAGTAAAATCTCAAAGCCACTAATAGAAATGATGCCAAAAGCCAATAGTAAGAAGGACAAAAAGGGAAAACAAGCAGCAAAGGAATTTAAATGGGGAACAGAACAACAACAAGCCTTCCAACATCTTAAGCAACTCTTGACAGAACCACCGATTCTTGGATATGCAGACTACAATCTTCCATTTGAGCTTCATACAGACGCCAGCAAGCTAGGACTTGGAGCTGTACTGTACCAGGAACAACAAGGAAGAAAAAGAGTCATCAGCTACGCCAGTCGCAGTCTAAGTCCTACAGAAAAGAACTACGCAGCACACAAATTAGAATTCTTAGCTTTGAAATGGTCGATTTGCGAAAAATTTCATGACTATCTTTATGGACATAAATTCACAGTATTGACGGACAACAATCCCCTGACCTACGTACTGTCGTCAGCCAAACTTGACGCAGCAGGGCATAGGTGGCTAGCAGCTTTATCTGTTTATGATTTCAGTATTATTTACAGGCCTGGTAAACAGAACCAAGATGCAGATGCCCTGTCCAGAAGACCAACTAATGATGATTTTCAGTCCATTTCTACAGATTCCATCAAAGCCGTATGTAAAGCAGTTCATGTAGAGCCACTTGTTACTACTTTGTCTTTAGATACTTCTATTATTGATCAAAATTTTTCTCAACAGGATGTTATTGACCAGCAGATAGATTGGTACAGTGTTCAGAGAAACGACCCGACTATTAGATCCTGGATTCATCACGTAAAGCTACAAAAGAAACCTAGACTTGAGGACTTACCATTTCATCCTCATTCACAGGCATTAGTTAGGAATTTCAACAAACTTAGACTTATCAATAATATTCTTTACAGGGAAACAACTTCATTTGACAACTTGAATCAACAATTAGTAATACCTAGATCATTCAAAGACAAAGTTTTGATGGAATTACACAACAAGTTTGGCCATCCGGGCAGAGAAAGAACATCATCTCTCGTTAAAGACAGATTCTATTGGGTAGGAATGCACCAAGACATCGAAAACTGGATCAAGAACTGTAACAGATGTGTGCACAGAAAATCAACAAACCAGAAAGCACCATTAGTCAACATCATTTCTTCTTATCCATTAGAACTTGTCTGCATGGATTTCTTGACATTAGAGATGAGTAAAGGAGGATATCAGCATGTACTTGTAATAACTGACCACTTCACTCGTTTTGCGCATGCGGTACCAACACGCAACATGACTGCAAAGACAACAGCAGAAGCTTTATACAACAACTTTATTACTTATTACGGAATTCCAACACGAATACATTCAGACCAGGGAGCTAATTTCGAAAGCCAAATTATCAAAGAATTATGTCAGATTACAGGGATGAAAAAGTCAAGGACAACCCCTTACCATGCTATGGGCAATGGTCAATGTGAGAGATATAATAGAACTTTACTCAACATGCTAGGAACCCTGAAACCATCACAGAAACAGAACTGGAAGCTGTATATTAACCCATTAGTGCATGCGTACAACTGTATCAAGAATGAGTCAACCGGAGTTTCCCCATATTTCCTTATGTTTGGACGTGAACCAAAATTACCGATCGACATAGAGTTTGGCCTAAAGAAAGATGAAAAGAAATCAGTATCCAAATACATCAGCAACTTGAAAGAAAACATGAAAGCAGCTTACGAACTAGTGAACAAAATTACCAAGAAATCACAGGAAAGACAGAAAGACACTTATGATAGAAGAACAACAAATGCAGAAATACAGATAGGTGACAGAGTACTTGTAAAAATTGTAGCTTTTGATGGAAAGCACAAAATTGCTGATAAATGGGAAGAAGAGCCATACTTAGTGATTGAACATCCTAATCCAGAAATCCCAGTATATAAAGTACAGAAAGAAACGACAAAAGGAAAAACTCGGACATTACACAGAAACCTTCTACTCCCTATTGGACATCTAGATTCTTATAAAACCAGTGTAGATGAATCATCACCATCAACATCCAGACCTACTCCAAAACCCAGGACAAGGCAGACACTGAAGAAACAAGGACAGGTTCAAGAGAAAACACCAGAGATTAGAGAATCAGAGAATGACAGAGATATTAGTTCAGATGAAGAGTCAGATACAGAATTTATTCCGGTACCGGTACCAAGGATCCCTGAGGTTAACATCCCAGTAGATGTTAGTAAGCACCCAGGTGAGCAGAAAGTACAGAGATCAGAAGAGCAGAGAGTACAGAGCCCTAGAGAGCAGAGAGTACAGAGCCCTAAAGAGCAAATTGTACATAGCCCTAGGGAGCAGCCTGTACAAAGACCCATACAACAGATGGATCATATAGAAGAGAGTCAGGAAAGAGAAGAAGAAATACAGCATCATGATGCAGAGGGGGAAGAAACAGATCAACATCCAGTAGAGACAGAGACGGAGCAACAGCAGCAACATGCTGAAGCCAGAAGTTCCAGATCTGAGGATAAAGAAGAAGAACCTGTACCAGTTCCACTAAGAAGAAGCAATAGGGAGAGAAGAAAACCAGATTGGTTAAACCCCCAGGAATTTGTTTTAGTTCAGCAACAGCAGCAACAAGAATGGATGAAGAAGTGTGACTATCTACATCGTTTGAAATCTTCAACGGAAATGAAATCATATGAAAAGGAAATAGTTCAAACCATGTTAGATATTTTAAAGAGAAATTAATCTGTTTTTAATTGTACATATTTGTTTTTATTTCAGATCGTCCAGTTAACTTGAAGAATTGCAGGAACAGAGCAGAGTATAGATGGTAAGTCCATTAGAGAAATGACGGGGACGTCATTTTCTAATGGGGGGGGAGTTTGTAGTAGAGATACTTTTATTTGAAATAATAAAAGTTGGAGTGATTTTAAATGAAATAAAATAAATATTAAATATAAATTAAATAGACTAAATAAACTGTTAAATAAGTTATAAATGATAGTTTTCCGTTAAAGTTTATTCTTTTCTTTCTTTACTAACTTGGGAATTTAGTGCTATAGTTATACACCCCTTTGGATCCACACCTGTACATACACTTATACATGACCACACACATATCTATTGGTCAGTTTTTGAAATACTTAGTTTTCATTGGTTAGTGTTTTGGTCTTTGTGGGGTAGTGAGTTTTATTCAGTTTAGACTCTAGAATTCTGATTTCTTATGAGAAGACGTAGTTTACTTTGCTGTTGAAATATTTATTTCCAAAGACCTTGAGACCTAAGACAGTTCCAGAAATGTAAGTTTTTACTTGTTTTATGCTACAATATATGTTTTCTATAATATTTATGTTAAAAATATGAAAACAAGATATTTTACTTTTAATTGTTACATTCTGAGTTATCTGTCTATTTATTCAGATATTGATAAATCTGATGAAGTTTTCCTATAAATTAAATAGTATATAAACCTGAAAATAGTTTAAAGTGAAGATTTTGGTAATAAGATAATCTAAATAATTATTTATTTTGAGAAAGGTATTTGTATAGAGCAAGTCCTTATTATTATATTTATTGTACATAGGTAACACCATAAAATAAAGAAATGTATATTTGAATTGGAGAAAGTTCAGTTCCATAAATTGGTATGTCTATCTGTATATATATATTTATGATTTGTAAAGAAATATCAAAGAAAGATAACTCTTCACAAGATTGTAAAGTATAATTGCATTATAAGAGTTAACTCCCTTATATCATGTGTAAAGTATATTTCTTGTGTATTATCATAGTAAATGATGATAATTTATTGTAAAAGGGAAGACAGATAATTTGTTATATTTTATAATCGGAATGTTTAATTGAAATACTATTTTGTACATATTTTTATGACGCAATTTGTATATTGCAGGACTTCGTTATATTATATTCCAATCATCTAAAGATATCATCAAAATAAACGTATAAATTATCAACTGTGTTTTCCATCATCATTGCCGGGAATACCCGCTACAATACTAAAAAGATGAATATTGAAGAAACAAGGGATCAGAAAGATACATCGAGTAAATCAAAAACTCATAAATCGGGAAGTGATGAAGAATTGTTTCCTAAGAGCTTGGATACAGGATCTGACTCACCTAAAGGAAATGAAGCGGTGGGATTTATAGATAACGAAGAAATACATGAAGACAAACAAAATATTCCAAAGAATTCAGAAATGTCAGGAATATTTCGAGTGTCCAAAGATGTATCGGATGATCCAGAGAAAAAAATCACCATGGTGGACTTTGCTGGACAGTATTCATATTACGCTTCACATCAGATTTTTTTGAGTCCTCGGGTTTTCTTCATTCTGGTGCTGAATATGGAGAAGAAGTTCGATGATAAGGTTGGCGAAGAAGTGTGTTGTCAGGAAGGCTCCGTTTACGGGGGATGGACACACAGAGGTTTACTTCTTTTACATGACATTGTGCATTAGTTTATTAGTACAGAAAAATCAGAATTAATAACAGAATCTTCATTTCAAAGGCCATCTACCAATCTTATATACTCATTAAAATCAAATTATGAAAGCAAAAATAACCATGAATGTTGATATTTTTCTCAGATTATCTAACATTCTGGGCAAAGTTCATTCATCAATACAGCAGTAATTAGGTCCCAGTTCTACTCGTAGTCACACATGAATAGTCCATGTAATAATTTTTTATGATTTATAATTATTTTATTCAGATTATCTTACATTCTGGGCCAATTCCATTCATCAATACAGCAGTGAGGAAGCTCCTGTTATACTGGTTGCTACTCATGCTGAAAACAAAACAGAACAGGTATCTAAGATCTTAATTGCAATACTTAATAAATTCTTTTGAATCTCACTATTAATTAGCTAAATGTGTTGCCCGAGCTATAGTTACTTGTAGCTAATAGATATTTTGATTATGGAATAGAGAGGTAATGCATCAGGAACAGCGAAAAGTCGCGATAGATAAAAATAATGTGCAATGGATATTTATGTAGTCCATTTTGATTTGTTCTTCATATTGTGTACTTAGATGCAGCATGCTACACAAGGTTCTACATTTTGGGGTAGAGAATTCCTCAAGGGAATGAAAATGTCAAATTTCGACGCAAGAACTCTCTTGAAATGTAAAAATTTATCATAGCTAGATTTTGAACACAATATAGGAGAAAACTGTAAGACAACTTGGACAAAAACTTATGTTCCAAGATATCAAAGTGACACCGGAAAGCGATTAGACCAACGGGTTGCTTGTAATCTATTTATATCTCGCCTGAAATTTATGTCACAATTCTGTCTTAACGTAGAACCTACTTCGCATAACATCATCACTAGTGAATGTATTAGCCTATGCTCAATCCATTATGACGTCATAATTAATTCAATGTCACTTTTTCCCGTACTTTACATCTTCAATAGAATTGGTAGAAAATACTTCATTTTGAAATTCACAGAATTCAATTTTAAAATCATGCCAAAATAATCTTAATTCAATTTATATATTTTTGGGGCTTAATGACAATATATTTCTGTAATAAGAGAAACCTATAGGCACTTTTTATTTACTAGATCTTGACCTTAGTTAAGTTGACAAATCCAAGACAGTAGACTATCTTGTTCAATGAAATTACAATGTATACAAATCACTGTAATAATGTGAATAGTATATACCACTATGTAGGAATGCAAAAATCCTAGGAAATCTTCAGTTGCCAACTAAATAGTGTAATATCTTGTTGAAATGTGTCTAAGTCAAATATGTACGTGTTGTAGATCTTGTAATCGTGTGTACATTTTGTGATATCTATAATGAAATGATGTGCATTCCTTTTCATAATTATTTGTTACTTATTCATATTCTTGGTGTTTGATTACAATTTTTCTATTAAATATGATCTTTTAAAATTAAAAGTACAATTTTTGATAAACATGTTTAATCTAAAAGAAACCCCAAACAGTCCTAATAATTAAATCCCGTTTTAGTGCAAAAAGGTCAAGAATATTAGCATCGGTAAATAGCCCATCTCTCATTAGTTAGAGGGGTAAGGTATATATTTTATTGACTTTTTGTAATCGTTTGGGTATGTTCTTCATCATATTAAAGATTGAAAACATTGTGACAAAGACTTTTGAAAAATATTTACAAATGTAGGGTGGAGAATTGACTAAAAAAAATAGAGTCCATTTGCCTATTTTTTTTTTTTAAATGTGGAGTTAACTTTTATGTCAATTGAATAAAAAAGAAATTAATCTTGAGAAATATTGCTTAATATTGTTCAGTTTATAGAGTCTATAAACAACGATGTTTGAGAAGGTATTTTTGTGATTTTTTCATATTCTCTTCTTGACAAATACCCCTAAAATTAACTGAAAATGTGTAGTCGCAGTATGTAATTATCATACCAAGATTCGCAGGCTCTACTAGATTTAAAAACAAGGAAACATACCATGAGCTTTTAACTAATTGATAAGCAAGTACTAATTTATCATTTTGAAAAGTTTGAAAATTTTGTGACAAAGACTTTTCCGACATAGGTTCTACATTAAGCCTTAATGATCATTGATATTTAGATAAATGAGATAACTCCGATAGAATAAATGTTAATCCTTCTTAGATTAAACAAGTTGGGATATTTTTGAGTCCAGTATAAATTTTTGGATAAATTATCATAAGCATTGATTCCATTTTGGTACATTTTTGGAAAAATATAAATATAAAAGCAACATTTTTATGATTAAATACAGGTTTTATTAAATTTATATTTTTAACTCAATCTTATGTGTTTGCCAGGAGGTAGAGGAGTTTTTCTTTGATATATGGAAAACTTTGGAAACAGAGGACAAGTCCCTGCAAGGTCACCTTGACAAAAGAAGGAAATTTGCCGTAGGTTTCCATGACAGTCAAAGCATTGAAAAAATCAAAGAGTCAATTGTTAAAGTTGTTCAAAATCTTGGCCACTGGGGTGAAAAGCTTCCATACTCTTGGGCTATGTTTGAAAAATTCTTCCAGGAAAAGAAAAAGCTGAAAATTATTTGTAAAGAAAAGCTTATGGCTTTTAACCAAGCACTGCCACAGAACATAAAATTGGAGAGAGTCGAAGATATTAACACCATGCTGCAGTTTTTTCATGACATTAGAGAGATTCTACATTTTAACCAGAAACTCCTGGGTGGAATAATTATCATTGATGTTCAGTGGTTTGCAGATGCATTCAAAAACGTAATAACTGATAAAAAACACGCAGAGGAAGATTTATATCAGCATGCATCAGAGTGGTGTAAATTCAGTGAAAATGGAGAATTGGGTGACACTTTGCTGTCTGCAATATGGGAAATGAACAACAATGGATACATGGAACACAAAGAAAAAATCATGCTCTACATGGAGAAACTACTAAGTAGGACTTCTGGCTAAGATGGAAGATAAGAAATGGTATGTCCCCTGTATGAACAAGAAACCATTTCCTGCGGAATGTTTCTCATCATACACTGCCTCATCCATCCTCTGCTACATGTTTGATGTTCTTCCTGCTGGAATTTTTCAGCGTCTTGTTGCAAGTTGCATGCAGTTTCCATGGCGTATTGTAAAAGAAAGTAAAAACGGAAAAAAACAACCATGCGTTTACCAAACAGCGGCCGTGTTTCTGTTTGAGAAACACTGCGTTCTGCTTGGAATGACCCAATCAGAAATTCAGTTGCAGGTGTACGTAATTGAGGGAGAAGTTGATATACCCACATGTTTGAGGATAAGGGAGAAAATTGAAGATGAATTGCACACTTTGTCCAGGACATTTCAAAGAAATCTTAAATTCCATATTGGCTTCAAATGCAGACCATTCGGCTTTTGTGACAGTGAAAAAAGTCATGTGATCAAGGAATCCGAGCTAACAGAGCTGCCTTTTTTGTGCCCTTCCTGTCCTGTAGAGAAAAAGCACAATGTTGACCCGACAGAAATCCTCAAATACTGGAAACAGGTACTCTGGTATATTATCTTTAGATGCTGAAATAAAACAGATATGTTCTGCAAGATACAATAAAATAATAGTACTGTAAAATGTTTTTTAAATAAGCCAAATATAATTCTTAAAAAGTTAAAATAAAAAAGAATAGACCTGCGAGAGAAAATCAAAACAATATTTTTTTGAAATAATGTGAAAGAAAATTATTTTTGAACTCATTAGAAATACATTGATTTTCTTCTATTTCATATTTTGAATTTCTGTCATTTTTAAAGCTATCAGTACTTAATATATAGGTATTCGAAAGTACAAAAGCGCTTTGAAATTTACAAAATTTATGAGTAGATATATTTACCAATGATTTTGCTTCAAATTTCTAAAATATAGATTAACAAAATATACAAAAAATCTAAAATAATTATCACAAGTATTTTAAAGTAAATTTAAAAAAAACAATTTAAAACGATCTAGTCTTTTTATGTTTAAAAATAAACTATCCAGGCCGATAGGAGAAAAATGCATTTCATATCATATGGTTTTCTTTGTTGAAACACTTTGTGCATTTTGTCATATGAATTTTTCCCTGAATTTTCTTATTTTCTTCTAAAATAAAAAAAATGTTGCAGATGAAGGCAATCGCTGCTAAGACTCCAGTGGCCTCTGGACAAGACCTGAGGGACCGATCTCGATTTGCAAAACTTGGAATGGCAACAAACGATGTGTTAAATCAGGCATACAGGGATATACTGGAGATGGAGGTGCAACCTTCCGACATTGAGAGGAAAGTTAAAGCATCACCTGTTTATAAAAGATTGCGCCCAGAACAAGAGCATCTCTTGCAGGATGCTAAACATTTGGGATACAAAAATTTTGATATCTCATTAACATACACATTAATCAGAAACATTTGTAAAACGATCCCGAAACCAACAAAAGGAAAATGGGGAGACGAACCCGCAGCAGGAGAAGTGACCGTGGGTGATGATATAGAGAGAATTAGGTCAATCCGGAACAGTTTGACTGCACATGTGTGTTCTGCTTCCACACCTCAGATAGAATTCAATAACAACTGGTCAATGATGTCAGATATCTGCAAAAGATTAGAAATCTTCACTGGAAAGAAGTACTTCGATGATCTTAATAATATTCAAAAACTAACCTTAAAGAAAGAAGATGAGAACACTATTATAGAAAAGGTCAAAATGGAAAGCCAGCATGAAATGGTGAAAGCAATTATGACAGATGTGCAAGAAATTAAAGCAGCAGTATTGGGGGCTGAAAGCAAGCATGCTTCGAATGTTTAAATGAAAGTGTGAATTTATTCATTAACAATGAGTTTGAAAGCATATCATTTTTGAAACTCTCTTTACTCAAGGATTGTGTTTTTGTATCCCAACTAAACAAATTGTTCAATTGAGTTATTTTGAATATCTTTTGGGAAAATATTCAACAGTCATCTATCTTTTCTTTTGGTGGGACTGATTAATATTCCATATGAATAGATAATTAAGTGATGTTTATATGTCTAAAAAGGGGAAAGTGAATGATATTGAGCGTAAATATGAAGTCTTGCGAAGGGAGACTTTGACTATCGACTGAAAGGATGCAATGAACAATTATCTCCTGTAAATAGTTTTTATCATACACTGCGTTTTGTATCCTCTGCTACGAATTTGATGTTCTTAATATGATCCCTGTTAACATTTTTATTCCCGTGTAACGAGATACATGAAATATCATTCAAAGAGTGTTAACTTCAAAAGGTATGGAAAAACGGTATTTACAAGAAAGCATCTTTAATTTGTCTCTATTGGGAAAGAATATGTCCTTAAAGAATTCGCGAACAACTGTTTACAGACGTTCAATATAATTGAGAAAATAAAAGGCTAACGTTTGATGAACTAGTACAAATTAAAATAATTGTACTTTCTATCAAGTACCTTCTTAAGGAACCTGAATTTCAAAAGCAGCAATATGTGGCTTTTATGACATTGAACAGTGTCACCTGTCGTTAATACTATTATCATCATAAAATATGTTACTGACTTCTGAATACAGGTAAGAGATTGATATGTTTGTGTCAAAACATAATAAACTTATGTACGCTATGGTCAATTAAGTTAACTTATACTGAAAGAGGTTTATTATCCCCTTTCTTATTTCATTAAAATAGTTATAAATTAATCACAATAAAAATTTTACATAAAGGAGCAATCAATCAATCAACTGAATAATAGAATTATGCAGGAAATTAAACAATATTTAATACTACATACAGTGAAATTTTCGCCCCTTTTACCTATGTCGGAAGTGGACTATCTTAAACAAAAATCTTTCTGGGCGAATTCAAAAGGGGCAAAGTTGTATCAAATGAGAAAGGGCCAAAATAACACGGAGCGAAAATATCCCAGTATACAGTACATCGTTTTACCTATTTTTTTTTTACAACTAACTGAACTTATATGCAGCATACACTTAGAGTTCACATTGTAAATGTAATGTAACCATTTCCCCGCAAGCACCTTAAAGTCCGGTAAAAGTTTCTCTAAAGTTCAGAGTAAATATTATTATGATGTAAAATTTAAAGACGTACAACACACTGGGGGAGATAACTCTTGCGATTTCAATTGAACGTTTGACGTGACGTCAAATTTAACATCAAAAATAAAGCGTCAAAATGACGAGTAAAACGATCCCGATGTCTATCAATCATAAAAGAAACAAGTAGAGGTTTTTTAAAAAGCTTACTGTCTTAAACAACCTTAAACAGTAAACTGATCTACATATCAGGACTTATCACTTTTTTTTAATTTCTTGATTTTGTATTTCTAACTTAGCTTTTTACTGGCTTTGCCCTACCGCGGTTGTCGTTCGGTCATCTCCGTAAACTTTGACTGGCCGAGAGCTTTCGGTTAACCTCTGCCCATTCCGTTACCTTCTACAAACAAGAAAGGGAAAAAGAATAATAAAAAATTATAAACCCTGCAAGCAATAAAAATCATATTTTACTTACAATGAAATGAGAAATCTTTTTGATTTATGCTATTAAAAAATAGCATGTTTTTTAGAATTCATTGCTGCTGATTTTGTTCTTCGTTTTGCCATTTTTTTATGATTGAAAATCTTGCAGAATTGTTAAGTCGTACGAAAATTAGATCATCAGAAAGTTATCTCCCTTGCGTTGAACAGCATTTCAACCAATGAAATACCTAAAATGTTCTCATCATGCAATTTCTACCAATCACAAAAGAGAGGAAGTGCATAGTCCGAAGACTGTAAAAAAGACTTCAACTATATAATACTGTCTTCCAAGGAAGACTGTAAAAAGGAATATGGGGCTTTGTCATGTTGGCTGTGATTATGAGTACCTTACACAATCCACAAGTATTTATTTCTAATTAACCCGATAAAACTCCGTAAAAAGCAAGACATAAAATACCATCCCTTAATGTTTATTTCATTTCATATACAATTAATTGTATTCTTGATCAAAGCGCAGCATTTTTTTTAATCTGAAAATTTTATTTTGCATTGCCGAAATTCTCATTATGTACAATTGGCTATAATGATTAATGGTCTTTATTATAATTTGCGATATATTTTTTTCCTTCTGTTTAATTCAATAAAACAACAATAAACAAACAAAAAACATTTTAAAATGTAAAATCAATGTTGCTCTCAGACCCTTACTGATCAAAGAGGAACAACTCTGAAAATGTAGGATATGTTTATTTTCCTCCCTTTATTCACGGTTTTCCGCATACACAGCATCAGATACATTTACAGCAGGACCTGATAAATCCGAGAATTGAATACAAATAGACCTCATACACACAATGTAAGTATAGTAATGTAAGTATAGAATTGAAGAGAATTGTTTACTAGTACTGAAATTATCTGAATTTATGAATATCCTATTGCAGCATTGCATATCGTTTGACTTTCTGACACTGTCAACAATGTCGGTTCGCATTTCCTCGAATAAAAAAAACGTAGCTATAAGATTTTTAAAAATATCAATGTGCGATTTGATATAAATTAAAATAGATGAAGAGTTTAATATTTGATATTTTGAAGTTAATGAGGACGAATACGGAATTTTCCCTTTAACATTACTAGAAGCAACGACATTGAAAGAATGCGTACAATATCGTGCGGGGTGTACATGTATGCAAATGTCAATGTATCCCCACGGCCACATACTGTCTCGTTTGAAATAATGACCTGAAAGAAACTATAATTATTCCATTTATATCACAGGAAAGTTTAACATACACTTTTTTTTGATAAATAAAATTAAAGAAATAAAATTAAAAATCAACATATTCAACATAACGTATCCAGGTTTCATGTTATATGGATATGCATAACGCATACATGTATGGGCTAAACACACTAAAATCCTTCTGTAAGTTTTTCCTGATACATATAAAACCAGGAATCAATATTTATATATATATATATATTTTGCATTCATGAATTTAAAAAACTAATGCATACCTCCGGATTCAAATGACGAAACACTAGTATATTTGCACTGTAAACGACGTTTCGTCAAACGCTAATGGTCTTCGACGCAAACAAGAAAGGGGTGGGGGTGGTAGGGGTATTCAAAAATTGCCTAAAAATTTACATATATATACGCTTTACATATGAGAACTTTTAAATATGTAAGTTAATATATTTTTGAAGCAAAAGCAATATTCCAATTTGATTTTTTTAAAATGTGTATTTGTAGATTCATAGCAAAGTGATCGACCCCCGTCTGAAAGACGCGCGGGAACGTGATTTATTGAGAAAGGGGGACGGGGTAATTTTCCGCTATTTAATCAAAACTGGTCGTACAAAAATTATACAAAAAATTATGAAGATTATTTTTACTACCAGCTACCTAAAGAAAGTTTTTTACCCAAATTAAACGACAGGTTTTTTCACAAAAAAGTTTGAATTTGAAAAATACACAATTTTCAAGGCTTAAATAATTCATAGTTTTTCAATTTAAGGTCTTTAAAAATTGTTTTGATGATATGTATATCAAAAAGATGACTATGTTTTTGTGTTAAATGGTTAAAGGAATAAGTCAATGAAATTTGACATTTATATCTAACCTGGCTTTTTTGAAAATCAAGGTTTAAGTAGTTCATTGATTAAAAATTTTCTCTCCTTGTAAACAACTAAAGGGGGGGGGGGGGTGGTAACTTTTGGAAATCCCTGTCCAAAAACCACTCGAACGATTTTGTCCAAAATGTGCATACATGCAGTAGATATAGTCATGTACTAAATATACAAAAATAACGAAAATTAAACGACAGGAATTTTTGGGGGTAGGTGTGTTGTACATCCTTAATAAGGAATATACATAATAATGCTTGGATCGTACACTAGTATTGTACATTTAAAAACCATGAACATAAATACAGCTCCGATTTTGTACTACATACAGTGTATGTGACACGAATGCAGCTCGACGCCATTTCGTCTTCCTTTGGTACATGAAAACATGAGATTAAATTATTCATTTAAAATAAAATTCATAATTTTGATTTTGTAACGTAAATGAATAATTTTACTAAAATGTAAATTTCTAGACCCACATTTATATAATTCAAATGAAAATCATTCAATTTTTTCCCATATCTAATCTCTATATTATGCGTGCTATTCCGAGTCCAATATCTTGTAGTATAAAAACGATTATTATATATACATAAACCAAAGTTATAAATTGTCATCAAAATTTATTTAAAATTTTTTTATCAGAAACAACCGATTTTGTCTATAATATTATTTACACGGTGCAGCTTGGAGGAGAATTTTCTGGACACTCGGTGCGACACGGAGGGAAATTTACTGGATACGGTGCGACACGGAGGACATTGGCTGAAATTTTTCTAGACACGGTGCGGCACGGTGTGCCTACCTGTATATTTCAAATCCACACACACCGTGCTACACCGTGTACACGGTGTAATGCTACGTTTACACTATGTTCCCGGCAGCCACGGCAGCCCCGTTTGCCCGAAACGTAGTGCGCCGTGAGATTTTGGTTATTTTCCCCTCTTTATCCAAGTCTTGACAAGTTCTTTTGCGGTCTTCTACGGTCTTCTACGGAATCCGTGATGGGCCGTAGGAAGAAGTTGCCGTGGAGTGCCGGAGGCTCCACGGCGCACTACGGTTCTGCCACGTTTGCCAGCACGTTCCCCCCAGGCCTCTTACGTTCTGATAGGTCCCCTCTCGTTTCTCGCGTTCTTATGAAGTTCGCAGCTAGGATAAGGCTGCCCGTAAAATATCAAACTGTTCAAACTGTATAGTTACTTGTCTGAACTACCTAGATATGACGTCATAATAGAATATGACGTTAAGTCACTGCATACTTGAGCTGACATGACGGGGAAAGTGTCATAATTATTACACGGCATGTAGATTTATTATGGGGATTTGTGTTTAATTCAAGAGTAGGGTTTGTTTTTTAAGCTTGTGTGTGTAGTTATAATGTTTAACATTTGATATTTAAATATCTCTATTCCTTTTGCTTGTTTGATAT